AAAAAAAAAAAAGAATAATGGGAAGTAAGCAAAAAAACCAGAAGTATGTATGTTTAATAACTAATAGCTGCTAATAGTGCCACAGAATGTTGAAAAAGCTTTAAAAAGAGAAGCGTGGGAGTGCCTGGGTGGCTCAGTCAGTTAAGCGTCTGACTCTTGATTTTGGCTCAGGTCAATGATATCAGGGTCCTGGGATCAAGCCCTGGGTAGGAGCTCTGCACTCACTGGGAGACTGCTTGAGGATTTCTCTTCCTCTCCCACTGCCTCTCCCTCTGCTTGCACTCTTACTCTCTCCCGTTCTCTAAAATAAATACATCTTTTTAAAATAAATAAATAAATAAAAAGAGAGAAGACGACCTCTGAAAGAGCCAAGATGCACAAAATGCATTAAATTAAAAAGGGAGAAACTATAAAGATCTCATTAAAAAAAAAAAAGGATATATTTATACATAAAGGTATGTAAATACATACATTGCATTAGGATTAGTACCTATAAGCTAAACTGCTGACACAGTTATCTTGGAGGATAAAAAGTAGATGGCAGTTACAGGAATAACTTCAATTTTCGGTTTCACAATTTATTAATTGTACTATGCCCCCAATTTTAAAAAAAGGCACATCAAACTTGGGCCAGAATACTGCACCCTCAGTAAGAAGGAAACCTTCTGATTTAGGTAAGGTGGTAGTAAAGCATTAAGAGAAATAGTAAAAATTCAGTTACCAGTTACCCTTCTGATATTTGGGGATCAATATAAAGACTAATAAAGGGTAACAAAAGGAGGAATTAGAATGAAGATATCCTTATATAACTACTGTCTCTGAAACCTAGAACTGTAATTATCTGTTTTAGTACAGGCTTATTTTATTATACTTCACAGATACTGTGCTGTACTCTTTACAAATTGAAGATTTGTGGCAACCGTGCATCAAGCAAGTCTATCAGTGCCATTCTTCCAACAGCATTTGCTCACTGTCTCTATGTCTCATTTTGGTAATTCTCTCAATATTTCAAACTTTCTCATTATTACTGTATTTGTCATGGTGATCGGTGGTCAGTGATCTTTGCTGTTACTACCGTTCGTTCTTTTGGGGTGCCACGAACCATATCACAGAAAATGGCGAACTTAATCAGTAAATGTTGTGTCTATTCTGACTGCTCCACCAACCAGCTGTTCCCATCTGTCTCCCTCTCCTAGGGCTTCCTCATTCTCTAAGACACAATATTGACATTAAGCCAAATAATAACCCTACAATGGCTTCTAAGTGTTAGAGTGAATGGAAGAGTTGCATGTCTCACACTTTAAATCAAAAGCTGGAAATGATACAGCTTAGTAAGAAGGCATGTTGAAAGCCAAGACAGGCAAAAGCTAGGCCTTGTGTGCCAAAAAATTAGCCACGTGGTGAATGCAGAGGAAAAGTTCTTGAAGGAAATTAAAAGTGCTACTCCAGTGAACACATTAATAACAGGAAAGCAAAACAGACTTATTGCTGATATGGAAAAAGTGTTTGTGGTCTAGATAAAAGATCAAACCAGCCACACCATTCCCTTAAGCCAAAGCCTAATACAAACAAGGCCATAACTCTCTTGAATTCCATGAAGACTGGAAGAGGTGAGGAAGCTGCAGAAGAAGTTTGAAGCTAACAGAGGTTGGTTTAAGAGGTTTAAGTAAAGAAGCTATCTCCATAACATAAAAGCTGCAGGAGGTTGCCCAGAACATCTAGCTAAGATCATAATGAAGGTGGCTACAATAAACAACAGCTTTTAAATGTAGACGAAATAGCTTTATATTAGAAGAGAATGCTATGACTTTCAAAGCTAAAGAGCAGAAGTCAATGCCTGGCTTCAAAGGACAGACTGACTCTCTTTTGGGGGGCTAATATAGCTGGTGACTTTAAGGTGAAGCCAGTGCTCAATGACCCTTCCAAAATCCTAGGACACTTAAGAATTATGCTAAATCTATTCTGCCTATGTTCTATATATGGAACAACAAAGCCTGATGGCAGCAAATCTGTTTACAACATAGTTTACTGAATATTTTATGCTTACTACTGAGACCTACTGGTAATAAAAAAAAGATTCTTTTCACAACATTAGTGCTGACAATGCACCTGATCACCCAAGAGCTCTGGGTAGAAATGACAGGCATAGTGTGTATGGCAGAGACTGCTGTTTGTCCCTCAGTATTCTTTCTGCTCTTCCTTTATTAACTAGAATCTCTTACTCTTAGTCAAGCACATGCCTGGCCAACTAAAGACTACATTTCCCAGCCTCACTTGTAAAGTATGGCCATGTGACTAATTCCTGGCTAATAAGATGTGAGCAGCAATGAGGCATATTAATGATATCCTCAAAAAGAATAGGTGTGGCCTCTACTCTTGCTTTTCCTGTTCCTGCTGGCTGGACCATAATACTATGAGAAGCTGAAGCACTAGATAGAAACTACATGTTAACATGACAGAGCACCAAGATGGAAGAAACCTGGTTCCCCAACACTGTAAATCCTGGCCTGATTATATCTGCTGTTACATGTGAAAAATAAAGAAAATTACAAACTCTTCATTCAACTGAATAATATTCACAAGAACAGTATTGTTTATCTATGAGGACGTGCCATAGCATCTCTTAAAGACTAGCTACTGGGGGTCAGTCAGTAGCACATGCAACTCTTGATCTCACGGTTTGTTGAGTTTAAGCCCCATGTTGGGCGTGGAGCCTACTTTAAAAAATAAATTAATTAAATTTAAAAAAAAAGATTAGCTGCTAAACCTGTGCTCATATCAGAAAAGGATTTACCATTGAACACAGACCACCTACAAACAGCTGACATTCAACAAAACATTAGTATGTACATATTCATATACACTCACAGGCTATTCTTGCATAAGAGTATAGTCATCTGTAAGTCATCAGCATCAATCAGATGAAGGTAACTAAAAATGAGCACAATGTTATAATAAGGACCATTTTAAAACCTTGATACTTACTGATACATTAGCACTGTCACTGCTTGCAATCTCAGCTGCCTTCTCGATTATCTGTTAAAAAAAAATTTTTTTAATTAAATTTTGGCACTCGTATTCGTAAAATTTTAATTGTAAATGATTACAACTGTACTTAGACTACAAGAAACAATATAGGGTCTGGCATTTCTATGCTTTATAATGTAAACATGAATTTAAATGCAAAATGGTATTATGTGGTGATTCCCAATCTTCAAACTCCTGACAACTGAGAGTCAATGGTATTATTATAAGGGACTGTAACTCCTAGGGTGCACTAGCATTGTCTGTAGATAAAACAAGCAAAGGCTTCAACATGTATGTGAAAGAATTTTCCTTTGGTATGTGAAAGAATTCTAAATACAGGTAAATATTTTCTGATTAAGAAAATGCAAAGGTATGTAAGAGTTACTAAATAAGTTTTTGTCACTTGTCATTGGTTTTTCTAAATTAACAAAAGTAGAATATCAAGAGATAGTCTAAAAATATCTTTTGAATTCATTAAGTTCAAAACGGGCTCTGATTCTTGAAAAGATGGGAAAATCAGTGGTTAAAGAATCTGAAGATTTAGGGCGCCTGGGTGGCTCAGTGGGTTAAGCAACTGCCTTCGGCTCAGGTCATGATCCTGGAGTCCCGGGATCGAGTCCCACATCGGGCTCCCTGCTGAGCAGGGAGTCTGCTTCTCCCTCTGACCCTCTTCCCTCTCGTGCTCTCTCTCTCATTCTCTCTCTCTCAAATAAATAAATAAAATCTAAAAAAAGAAAAAAGAATCTGAAGATTTATATCCAGTTACTGAAGTACATAATCCTAAACGAATAATTTAACTGTATCCTCAAATGTATAGTGATAACTCCTATTCTATTTCATATGGTTGTTATGATGACAAAATGAGTTATTAAAATTAGTAAAATTATCAATAACCATAAAACTGTCTTGAAAAGCAAAATATAGGGCGCCTGGGTGGCTCAGTTGGTTAAGCGACTGCCTTCGGCTCAGGTCATGATCCTGGAGTCCCTGGATCGAGTCCCGCATCGGGCTCCCTGCTCGGCAGGGAGTCTGCTTCTCCCTCTGACCCTCCCCCCTCTCATGTGCTCTCTCTCATTCTCTCTCTCTCAAATAAATAAATAAAATCTTTAAAAAAAAAAAGGCAAAATATACACAAGTGATCACAACAAAAATCATTAAATTAAATAAAAAGAATACAGGGAACTTTCACTTTTTCTATCTGTATTATTTGCTTTTTTAAATGATCACATATAAATTATACAATTTTAAAAAACCCAGTAAGTATAAATATATTTATACATATTTAAAGACAAATCCTCTATCCCAAATTGATCTTCAAAGACAGACTCTCTAAGAGATTACAAAGGCAAAAGGTAAGTTTAGTGACTTAAGCAATGCTGAAATAAAACATTTTAAAAAACTGGACTTCTAAACTACTTGTATTTGCATTGATATTCTATTTGTAAAAATGCTTCAAAAAGCACCTCATTTGATCCAAAAGAAACTATAACTGATTGTTGAACACATACTATAAGTGAACACAAAAACAGTCATAGCTTGGAGTATAAAATGTATCACAAGTAGCTATGCCTTCTGATTAAATTGCTATCCTAAGGAAATAAAGCCATGGCATGAATGCAACAGATGGTTCAAAATGTACCTTTTTCTACTCAACACTAAGGTATACGGTTCTTGACATATTTGGGATTTCTACTGTACTAACCACAAAATTTAATTTGGCTGTATATTACTGATCAGAAAATCATATGTGGATAAAATTCAATTAAAATGAGACTAAAGAAGAAACATTAGGTAACAAATTTAATTTACATATTACTTTAAAAATCTATACAGGTCTGGTAATGCTGAATTTTAAGATACAAATAAGTTTAAAGGTGGATTAACTTGAATATTATTCAGTATAATATCAATGTTTAAAGGAAGCTTATTCTCACATAGATTTAAGGAAATAAACTTTGTTACTATCTGAGAATTTGCTCCAAGATTTTCTCATAAAAATCCCATCAATCATACCTGAAACAAAGATGCCAAACCTTAAGATAAAACATATGACAGCTTAGCTCTCAGAATGTAAATTAGCAAAGCCCCATTTTCAACTCCACCAGATACCCCCAATACCCAAGATAAGCAGTTTGTATACTAAAGAAATGTGTTTAGAAATGGAAGTCCTTGCTATAGATTCTACACAAATAACACTACCTTAGGAAGTCTACTAAGAGTAACATTCAACATAAATCATTTGTTCTTTGAATACCAATTCTAACACAGCAGTGACTATGTCTTTAATCCCTAAACTAACATGCTGGGCAAGCTTCAATGTATATTTCACATGCTCAGACTTATACGAATGCATTTACAGCAGTTTTAAATTCAAAAGAACCTCAGAGAACAATTATGACTTCCTCATTTTATAAATGAGAAATCTGACCTCCAGAGATATTATGTCTCACCTGGTCAGTGATAAAGCCAAGATTAAATACAAAGTTTAGTTGGCTCCAGGCTCAGTGGTCTTTCCACTGAATCAAGCTGCCAATGTATGTGATGTTTAGAAGAGAAACAAACATGTAAAGCTTAAACCATAAACATGCAGAGCCAAGAACTAATGATTCAGTGATTTTCATGCATAGTGGTCCTTTAAATAATGAGCTTACCTTATCGAAGGGCGGATAATAATAAGGTTGTTTTTTATTCTCCGGGAATTTGATATGCAAAGCTGTTGCATTTTCAGTATATGGATTTGTTTGAACAGTTCCCATTGGATTCAACATTTCTTCAAGTTCATCTAAAATATGCAAATAATTTTGATTCTTAAAAAATGTTTTTAAAACTAAACTAAAATAAATCCTTAAGAGAAAAGTATTTTAAAAGTATGTCACCCAAGGAATTTGGCAGACAGTTGTTATCAGTAAGCCTCTAATTTTCTGTAATACTTGACACAACAATTGAATGTGAGTTTACATACATCTCTAAAATGAGAAAGTTTATAAAAATACCTACCTCACCTCTTTCTGCAAATTTGACAAGTATCCTCAATCTTGAAAAAAAAAAAACTTAATTGGAATTGCTCTCCATCATAATAAGGTGACCCATAGAATTTATTACTTCACCACATATATGGATTCCTTATTTTCCCTGGTCATCACAGTACCCAAACTGATTATTTTGAGAGTCATCAACAACATTCTTTTGGACACATCTAATGTTTATGCTCCTCAATTATCCCATAAACTGCTGATACAGTTAAAGGGCTCTCTGGTAGTTTCTGCAACACTCCATTCAAGTGGTACTTCTTTAACCGAATGAACTGCTTATTTCTTTAAGGCTCTCCCTCTGCTCCACCATGGTCCATTCACAGAATTGGGCATGGGAATCTTAGATTTCATTGTTCTCATAAAACTTTTTCATTTCACAGGTAAGTAAACTGTTGAAGAGATAGTAAACTCAAGAGAACAGAATTAGCAGTACAACCTAAAGTCTCTCCTCTCCAAACTATTATCTCCTTCCTTATACTGATTTTTAGCACAGTTGTTCTCTCCTAAGGAAGTAAAAATCCACTGTGTCCAGGCCTAATGTCCAGATATTATGCATACTCAATTATTTACCAATGCTAGAAAATACTTTTTTAAAGATTTTATTTATTCATTTGAGAGAGAGAGAGCACGAACTGGGGGAAAGGCAAACTCCCTGCTGAGCAGGAAGCCCAACTGGGGGGGTGGGGGTGGGGGGAGTCCCAGGACCTGGAGATAGTGACCTGAGCTGAAATGAAGGCAGACACCTAATTATTTGAGCCACTCAGGAGCCCGGCTAGAAAATCTTTATAGACTATTTCCAAGCTTCAGCTCGTTGATCAATTCTTTGCTTGAGTTGTTTAATACTCTCAAATTTCAGATTCTGTTATCACCCAAAAGGAAGCAATTCTCATCATTTATACACCTCTAAAGCAGATAGATTTCTCAGCAAATTAAAATCCTATACTTATGCTATCTGGTAGCATTACACTCCTTTGTCCTATCATACACAATCTATCTAAAGTAAAATGTATGGCGCCTAGATGGCTCAGTCATTAAGCGTCTGCCTTCGGCTCAGGTCATGATCCCAGGATCCTGGGATCGAGCCCCGCACTGGGCTCCCTGCTCCACTGGAAGCCTGTTTCTCCCTCTCCCACTCCCCCTGCTTGTGTTCTCTCTCTTGCTCTTTCTCTCTGTCAAATAAATAAATAAAATCTTTAAAAAATAATAATAATAAAGTAAAATGTAGCATTTTGGTATTCTTATTAGCCCCAAACATAGAGAGGTAACCTTGCTTAAAAGTAATTACAAAAAAGCACACTAAAATATTTTATAAACAGAGTACAAATTGGTACAACCTCTACTGGAGAGCAATTTGTGACTATCAAAATTACGAATGTATTTATTCTTTTTTTCATTTTAAAATTCCAAGTTTTTATTTTTTTTTAAGTTTTTATTTTAATTCCAGTTAGTTAACATAGTGTTATATCAGCTTCAGGTGTACAATAACAAATGTATTTATTCTTTAACTCAATAGACCCACCTCTATGAATTTATCTTAGACATATACCTGCACATAAGCAAGCTTATTCATTGTAACACTGCTTAAATTATCAAAAGGTAAGTCTGCTTTAAGAACAGCAGCAGTACTCTATATAGATACTAAGTTAAAAGGGCGAAAAGGAGAACACTGCACAGAAAGCTACTTTAATAGGAAGAAAAATAGAAATCTACATTTGTATTTCCTAGTGTATACACGAAGAAATCTGGAAGATACAAAAGCAACCAGCAATGTGATTATATACCATTTAATGATGGCCGAGGGACTCGAGACAATAGATTATTTGAAGTTCCTTTGTTTCAGCTTCACTCCTACTGGGATAAAGTGATAATTCTAGAGCTGATACATGTATAGCAAATGTGTTCATTTATTATTTTTCATATTACATTTTGTTAGAGATGAAGTCAGGCTCATGGTATGCCAAGTTAATAGTGCCCAAAACTGTCTTATTTTGCTAAAAATACCAGTCAAGTTGCTTGGTGATTCTGGAGAACATGTGTGAGTCTAAATTAAAATTTTCAAAACAGTGTTAACTGCTGAAATGCATAATTTTTACTCTAACTATGAAGCTCATAGTTACTCTTAAGAAATGTATAAATGGGGGCGCCTGGGTGGCTCAGTCATTAAGCGTCTGTCTTCAGCTCAGGTCATGATCCCAGGGTCCTGGGATTGAGCCCCGCATTGGGCTCCCTGCTCAGTGGGAGGCCTGTTCTCCCTCTCCCACTCCCCCTGCTTTTGTTCCCTCTCTCGCTGTATCTCTCTCTCTGTCAAATAAATAAATAAAATCTTTAAAAATGTGTAAATGCACACTACTCTCCTATATTTGGGGGAAAACATGATTAGTAAAAACTATTTCAGGTATATGGAGGAAAGGGTAGAAACTGAAGAATATATACATACATAAAATATTAGAACATGAGTTTTAAATAGGTCTGTGAATAACTGATTATCTAAAGCCAATTTCTCAGATGTCAACTACTAATAAATGACTATTTTCAAATGTTTGTCACCCACAAATACTTTTAAAATGCAAGTAAGGGGCGCCTGGGTGGCTCAGTTGGTTGAGCGACTGCCTTCGGCTCAGGTCATGATCCTGGAGTCCCGGGATCGAGTCCCGCATCGGGCTCCCTGCTCGGCAGGGAATCTGCTTCTCCCTCTGACCCTCCCCCGTCTCATGTGCTCTCTCTCATTCTCTCTCTCAAATAAATAAATAAAATCTTTAAAAATAAATAAATAAATAAAAAATAAAATGCAAGTAAGTTCACAATTTTATTAATTATATTAAAGAACTATGAAGGCAGGGGGAAAAAAAGAAAACCACTATTATAATGTAAAGTTTACACTAAAAATTTCAAACACTCGGGAAAAGCAGTATAGAATAATGGAAAGAATCAAGCAGTCTTTTGTACAAATCCTACTTTTGAACCAATTTGTAAGACTTAACTAACTTATCTCTAAGGTTCACTTTTCTCATCTGTAAAATGGAGGTATGTAAATGGAGATAAAATGGAGATAATGGAGATAAAACTATCTACGTTGTTGGGGTGCTCTGAATAACATTTCAGAAATATAGGCATATGGAAGGTGCTCCTCTAGGCTCAAATTTCAGGTTAAAGCCAACTAAACACTTAACTTACTGTGTTTTTACTATTCTTCCCATACTAGTGAATATTCCTTCTATTAGTGTAGAAATTTAGTACAACTACAAGCAAAAGGGTTGTTATAAAGAAGACACTGTTCCTTAGGAGAATTTCTCCAAAATCTATAAAAATAAAACTTTTAAAGCAAGAACATATTCACCGAGATAACAAATATATTCAGATACAAATCACTTTTTAAATACATTAAAACAATCTGTGGGAATCTGTTTTAGAATAAATAATAAAGATACGAAAAGATGTTTCTTTACTAAACTGAAAGAATAGTGAGTCATAAAGAAACATTAACTAGTCCACATGCCAAAAGTTACTCTTTAAGGATTAGGATATAAGTCTTACCAGGAAATGAAGACCAGCTGTGCAATATTATGTCTCCAGATCTCAACTGTCCTTTAAAGTCAAAAACCATCGTATTTACCCAGGCTACAGGATAATGCTGTTGAAAAAGATACCACTGCATAAATATGCTGAAAAAGAACTTTAGCATGTAAACATGTACTTGCCCTTTGTTTCAAACATTTAGATGGAGAAATTTCTAGAGTTCCAGATGATTTCCAAAATATCATCCAAAATAAAACAAGATATACAAGGAAAAATGTTCAAGATCTTTACCATGGTTCAAGAAAACTCTGAAAGCCAATTAATGTCTCATCATGAAATAATGTATCCAAAAAACATTATTTATTGTATAAACATTATAAATGATGAGGAATTTTTAATGATTCAAGAAAATACGTGTGATATGTTAGGTTATAAGTTTTATGAGCTTTAAGCCATAGTAAACCTTAATGTAGGAGAAGGCAATGTCTGCAGGCATTGTAGAATTTATTTATACTTCTTAGAAGGAAGCATAGACACCTAGACCAATTAACTTGGTCACAGTGTATCAAAAAACCTTATAGTCAAATACTTTGAGTAAAATTCTTTATCTGTGTAAGAAAAAGTACTAAGGAAGTACCTCGTCTGTGACTTTTACACCCTAAAATTTATTTTTTAAAAACTGTCTGATAATAACCAGAGGAAAAACCTGCTTAATTCTTACATTAAAGAATAAAGGACACAAATTCATGTACATAAATATAGTGACCAGTTTTTTTTTTAAAACATATAAAATTCATGTCCCCATCCCTCCAAAACAACTTTTCATAAACTTAAAGGAAAATGAAAAAGACAGGACTAAAAATATGAAACGGAAGATGAGAATATGAGAACAGGTACACCATCCTTTTTCCATAATTTCAAAATCTAAGAAACTGAAAACTAAAAGTTTATTCATAATTCATATGACAACAAAACATGGCCAGAAATGGCATGAAGTTAACTGATATTCTGCATTTGTCTCATTTAATGTGAATATTCATATTCACTGCTACTGATGTGTTTGATTACAGATTTGTGCCCCAGGCCCACAGGTGTGCTGAGTAAAGTATGTCATATGATCTTTCTAAAACTCACAAAATTCTGAATGTTCAAGCATACGTGGCACACAGAATTTCAATTAAGGTACTGTGGAAATAAAATTTTCTTAATCTTTTCATTCTTTTTTATCTATATTTTTAAAGTATTATATTTATAATGGAACACTTATAGTATGATATTTGCTAAAATAATCTGCCAAAAGAGAAATAAATGAGGAGATAAAAATGAAGATTTATCATCTTTTAAAAATCACTTCGTAGGGACCAAAGTTATATGCTATAATTTCACGTTACTCAATTATTTCAGAGAGTCTTAAAATTATTCCATTTTAAAAATTTTTCAGTAGTGTATAATTACCACTTTCCCAGATTTCCGGATGGTCTGATATTTACAGGGATGAATAGTTTTAGTCGACTTTTTCGTTTTCACTTTATCCAAAACTGCATAAACAGCAAAACATAATCGAGCCATTCGTGGAAGGTCACATGTATTTATATCAAATTCCAGTGGTTCATTCCAAATGTGATCATTTTTCCCTGATATCTCTGAGCTTACGATGGTTTTACAGAGGAGTTCAGTACCATGAAAAAGGCCAGCCCTGACATGAACCTGTAATGAGGGAGACAAAAACAAACACAGAATTATGAATACTGCACCACTGAAACAACTTTACTCTGAAAAACAAACATGTACTGGGACAAGCAGCACACCAACTCTAGGAAACACTTTCTCCATAGAACCATCAGGCTGTAAGTAATCAGTATATAATTCACTGAACTTTATTTTAATCTATCTTTCACTTAGTAGGTAAACCAACTAAAAAATGCAGTATGTCTCAATGGTATAAACAGATCAAGAGAAACCAAGACCATAAGTATAAAAACTATTATCATATGCTCACCTCCACTGACTGCATTTACTTGGGGTCTTGTCTTACTCTTCTGTATAACTGGAAAGTAAGTGATGGAGAAAATGTCTCCAAAGTCTCTTTCTAATTCTAAATAATGTATGAACTGGTCATTACAAGAGCCACCTTTTTTTTTTTTAATATTTTATTTATTTATTTGAGAGAGAGAGCATGAGGAGGGGAGGGTCAGAGGGAGAAGCAGACTCCCCACTGAGTAGGGAGCCTGATGCGGAACTCGATCCTGGGACTCCAGGATCATGACCTGAGCCGAAGGCAGTGGCTTAACCAACTGAGTCACCTAGGCGCCCCCAAGAGCCACCTTCTTAAAGATATTCTATCCATATTTACAACTATCCTACACATCATTGTTTTTCATTTTTTCCTAAAGACACAGGTCCAGAGTGATGCAGGACATATGTGCAATGTCCCAGAAAATTTTACTCAGTCATTTATATAGTTTTTTAAATGACATAACCCAATTATCTCTAAACTTAAAAGTGAGTAGTACAGAACTAGAACAAATAATCCTAAAGTGTATATGGAATCACAAAAGACTCCCAAATAGCCAAAGCAACCTTGAGAAAGAACAAAACTGGAGGCATCACAATCCCAGATTTCAAGATACACTACAAAACTGAAGTAATCAAAGCAGTATTACGCTAGGTGAAATAAGTCAGAAAGACAAATTCCACATGATTTCACTTATCTATGAAATCTAAAAACAAACAAAGCAGGAAAAGACCCATAAATACAGAGAAAAACTGATGGTAGCTAGAGGGGATAGGGGAAGGGGATGAGCAAATGGGTGAAGGGGAGGAGGTACAGGTTTCCAGTATGGAATGAACAAGTCACAGGGATGAAAGGTACAGCATAGGGAATATAATCAATGGTACTGTAACAGTGTTGTATGGTAACATATCATAGCTACACTTGTAGTGAGCATAGCATAATGCATGGAGTTGTACAATTACTATGCTGTACACCTGAAATTAATTTAACATTGTGTGTCAACTATACATCAATAAAATTGGTTGACTAATAAGTTAAAAAGTGAGTGGTAAAAGTAGAACTAAAAACAATACCAAAACACAGACTGACTTAATGAAATACTTTATGGTCAAATGTTTTTATATTGATTTATTCAAATGTGATATTAGCATACTGTAGTACTCAATTTACTGTTTACTGAATAAATGAATACATGTGAATATATAGGTTCGTCTTTAATTTAAAATGGGCTTATCAATAAAAATTGACTTATCAGAAGAGTTACTATCCTCGTTTTGAAAAGGAGTATCAAAAATACCCATTCTATCTAAAGATACAGAAACATATTTAAATAGAAATACAAAATTTTAAGTAATACCATCAATTTTTAAAATTATAAATATTTATATTAGAATTATTTTAAAAGCTATTAAAATTATGTTATAATTGCATAACTAAAACTATAGGTTAGTAGACTACACATTTCATAATGTAACAGGGCAAGAATGGCTTACTTTAACCAACAGTATTCATTTATCTAACTCCTGCAAAATAAACACAGATTGGGGTGCCTGGATGGCTCGGAGCCTGATGTGGGGCCAATCTCACAACCCCGAGACCATGACCTGTGCTCAGTGTGGGGTCTGCTTAAGATTCTCTCTCTCCTTCTACCTCTGCCCCTCCCTCCTGCTCGCACACACATCTCTCTCTCAAAATAAATAAAATCTTAAAATAAAAATAAACACAGATTAAAGGGTTAGATATGTTTAAATCACTAAAAAGCTAATTAAAAAGAAAAACTATTAAAAAGCTATCAGAATAACTACTGAAGCTGGGTGTTGGGTTCATGGAAGTTTATTACACTATTCTCTCTACTTTTGCATATGTTTGAATTTTTCCTTTAAAAAAAATTTCAAGCTAAAGAGAAGAAAATTATTTATTCCAAATACAGATGGATTATTATTACATAGTAATCCATCTGATAAGTAAAGATTAAAGTAATAGGGATTATAAAAAATTGCTAAAAGCACTTGCAGTAAATTCTCAGGCCACCAAGAATTTTTATCTGAACACACACCTGATTCCCTTCAACTTCACAGAAAAGGGATTATTCCTTCTACTCAAAACTTCTAGTTCCATCTTGCTCCAATTTCCCAAGTACTTAGACCTTGCTCCTTTGCATCTCTGAATTGGAAAAACCCCCTCCCCAGCAGGCTCTAAAACCTTTGCATTTCTCTCCCATGTCAAACTCAAACAAAAATCTTCTTTAGAACCTAACTAATCATAATGAGAATGGTGCCAGCATCTACTTAGACACTCATGTTTCTTACTTTCAATCCATAATCAAACCTATATTGTAATACAAGGGGAAACTGGTTTATGATGTAATATTATTTAAAATTTTTTTTTTAATATATTGATTTATTTTTTTTAAGTAGGCTCTATGCCCAATGTGGGGCTTGAACTCACAACCTTGAGATCAAGAGTTACATGCTCTACCAACTGAACCAGCCAGGTACCCCTATAATGTACTCTTAAATGAAAAATAAAATAAAAAAGACAATACATATGCACTAAAAGCATATTCACATTTTGATGGTGCAAAGAAATGAATACAAATAAAACTAGTTATGGTAGGATAGCAAGAATATTGGTGATTTATCATTCTCTTAAGTGATCTTGGATTATATTTTATAATGTTACCTTTAAAATATATTTTTTTAAGATTTTATTTATTTATTTGACAGAGAGAGACATAGTGAGAGAGGGAACACAAGCAGGGGGAGTAGGAGAGGGAGAAGCAGGCTTCCCGCCGAGCCACCCAGGCACCCCTCAATGGTTTAAATTCTATTCCTGTTTAGTAGTCTTAATTGGCAATGACTTTGCTGCGCACCTTTCCAACCCAACCACCAGTGTGGCCCCCATCTGCCTCTAGCTATACCACAGTGGTTTCGGTTCTTAAGGCATGCCAGGGGGGTTTGTCTTTGCCCAGGCAGTAGGCACTCCTTTCCTTTCCTCCTGTTTAACTCCTTTTAAGATAATGACTGGTGTGATAGTGGTGGAACCTTTCCTAACCTCCTGATAAACTAAAATTACCATTCACAGTTTGTTTATAAACTGGTGCTCAATCTTCCTGAGGTGTATTAGGGAGGAAAAGAAAACTTCGAAATCTGGATTTTGTGCTCTTCCTACTTCCCATATAATTTTACTAACACTAAATGCCATTTATTGAGCATTTCATGATGGCGCCATTTCTTCATTGCTTAGGAGAAAATAATTTGGTTCTTATAGGCAATTATAGTTTTCTTTATAGAATAATTGTTATTCCTATTTTGTCATGGCTATTAAAAATACTAGGATAGTAAGTGTCTCATAGTTTAGATACTTTGAGTACAGCATAAAGGAAAATGCAAAGATTTCATAAAAGTGTTGTTGTATAATTCCTTCTTTATAATTATTGTTATATTCTTTACAGAGTAAAAATGAATCCCCAGACATTTTGCTTTATTTCGGGGAACACAGGGAAATAGCATTTAAAGTAGTGTAGAGACATGGACTTAAAAGTTGCTTGACATTGTCTATTACTTACTTATTTAAATTTTGACACTGTTTAAAAACAGGTAAACTTGAATGGGTTTTTTTTTT